GTAATTGCTGTTATTTTCGATTTCCACCAAAAGAATATTCTTAAACCAGGCAAAGAAATCTGAAATGAGTTTGCCGTATTGCATCTCAGTAAGTGCTATAGCCATTGGCCATCTAAGGGAAAACATTCTGTCAGATAATCATGGCCATTTTTGCATTTTAAGGGAACAAATGTCATATCTAAGAAACACATTTTTTTCAGAGCTTAATTATAATTTATAGTACATTGCGCAGCATTTGTTTTCTGTTCATCATGTTATTGCTCTTCTGCCTTTTCCCTAAATTTATGCATTAAATCGTGTGTCTGTATGTGTGTATCTGTGTATATATGTACACATATGCAATATAATAAGAAGTGGTGTAGTGGGGACAACAGACGGCTTGCGTGTGATGTATTATTGGCATTTTTCTTTCAAATTACCGTTTTCTTGCTGCTTTGGGAGAAAGCCATGATTTTGCTGTGATTAGTACACTTTTAACAATCTGGAATAAATTCCTGATCTTATCCATGTGACTAGTTCAATGCCCATTTTTACGTTTTAGTGCAAACCCCTACATATGTGCCTGTAATACCACAAAAATAAGATGTTTCTTTGTGGAAATTTTATAGAATTTGGATGCCGATCAAATATTTTTAGAAGTGGAGAATTAATGCGGCTTGACCATGTAAATGATTTTTTTAATGAAAAAGACTTTAGTATTCATCACTCTCTCTCTCTCTCTCTCTCTCTCTCTCTCGTTTGTGTATTCCTTTGTGCTAATCTTAAATAATGGATCCATATCAAAGTTAATAAATTAGTAACTATTAGCAGTGTTTGGATTACAGTAAGTAACCCAATGACACTTCATTGACATTGACTTTTTATGTGTTCCAATAATACATTTTCAGTTTTAAAGATAAGACAAAGCAAAATAGGGTTTGGCATGTGTTTGAATCTTTAACAATTCTCGGGCAATGGCTTTGTTTAAATCCAAGGCCCCTGCTTTAGGTAAACTTTCATTTAAATGGTCCTAAACCCCAGACTGAGATCCATGTCTTTCTCAAAACCAGCAGTTTCTGACTGCTCAGCTGATGCACCATGTTGGGCTGCATCAGTCATGCCATGTTATGAAACCTAACGCGATGTGACTGATGCAGCTTGACATGAAGTGTCACAAAGCAACATATCAGATCACAAACTTGAAAGAAAACAAAGTTTGCTTTTTTTTTTTTTCCCTCAAAGCCTAAATTAATGAAGCAGTATATATTTTTAAAAAGGTGGACTAGTTTCAAACTTTGAGGGGTTTTTCCTAATGTGGGCCCCACAGAAAACACCTCCATCCTGACCAGGAAGTCCCTCCTGTCCACACTCCTTGTTCTCCCCAGGGTTCAGTCAAAACCAGAGAAGATGATGAGCCTGGGTCACCACAGCATGACTTTCCTTGCTGGGTCTGATCCTGGGAGGTTTAGATCACTTTCAGAGGAGTGGCTCCAGCAGGTGCTGGGGTTAATCACCCTTCCTGGGGAAATCCATACATTCTAAAAACATTCTTTCAGTCCAGCCATCATTGTTGTCATTTTGACTGCTTTTTATTATTATTTTCTGCTGTTCCCTCTCCCTTAGACTGTCAGCTTCCATCCAGAGGATTACCAAGTCTCTTCATGTCTCAGTTGCAGACTTGATAGAACATGCTCCACAACAGAATTATTTCAGCTGCAAACAATATATTGTCCTCTAGCCTCACTTTTGATCAGAGAAAGTTCCCCCCCAGTTGGCCCACCTTTTGTCTAATTTTCCTTACTAACAAAGGAAAGGCATTGCACATCATCTCCTGAGCTATCAGGAAGATTCTTATTTTCTTTTTTTTTTTTTTGAAGGGCTTTCATATAATTTTATTGGGAGATATATAGTGGGTAAAATACATATGAACTATAGCTTGCTAAGAAAGAATCTACCAACCACTGCCAGATAAAACATTATAAATTTATTGCCAACTTATCTGGGAAGGGTTATTTTAAGAGCTTGCTGCCCACAATAAGGTTTTGAGCTAAAATTAATGAATGGGATACCTAAGAGAAGTGGGAATTTTCCTTCACCCCTTAGTTACAAGCAAATTGCAGATATTGTTATCTTTGCAAGCAAGAATAATCTCTACTTTTTGTACTACTTCTGCTGTAAACAATGTACCGCTTGCTTTCCTATGACCCTCACTCTGTATACATATTTATATATTATTCATATCGGATTAAAAATGAATGTGCTCTTTACCACAGTTGTACTGCATAGTGACAATACAAATTAACTTATTGTGTACTTACTTTTCACAAGGCAGTGATGTGAAATTTTGATGGCCTGAAAAAGTAAGTCGTGGGGGAAGGCAATGCAGAACTGAATCCTTGTAGGTGCACTTTATGTTGTCTGATTTATTAAAGTGCGTTGAATTAATAAATGGCATTCCCTGTATGGAATTGCATGGGTTTGAACTTGGTTCAGTGCTGGGAAAAAAGAGTTTGCTTTTAGTCTGGTGCATGTGAAGTGGTAGCTCCAGCCATGCCATGTGCATTCCTTGTTTAGAATCTGTTCTTTGCAGGAAAGAATTAGGAAGGCTATTTATTAGGAGCCACTTGGGAGAAAAGCATTAAGAGCTGGTTGGTGAGATCATAGTATCAAAAAGTCATAGAGTGCTTTGGGTGGGAAGGGACATTAAAAGTTGTCTAGTTCCAACCCTCCTACTGTGGACAGGGACACCTTTCACTAGACCAGGCTGCTCAAAGCCTCATCTAACCCAGCCTGGAACAATCCCGGGGATGGGGCAGCCACAGCTTTTCTGGGCAACCTGTGCCAGGGCCTCACCACCCTCACAGAGAAGAATTTTTTCCTAATTCCTAATCTAAACCTACTGTTTGCCAGTTTGAAACCATTCTCCTTGTCCTGTCACTTAATGCACTTGTGAAAATCATTCTTGTAGGTACCCTTTAGATACTGGAAGGCTGAGAAACAATGGGGGAGATACAGTGGTTTTCTTACTTTCCCCCCCCCCTGAATTTTCAAATATCTCTAGATTTGCCAAAACAATGAAAATTGGACTTTCTCTGGACCTAATTCATTTCCAGACAGTTTTGAGAGTGCTTCAAATTTTCAGAATTTTTCAAGCATATTTGTGCTTCTGTATTGATTTTAGAACTGACTCTAGAAGGCACTAGGGACACCTTCAATCTCTTCTTTGTCTGTTTCCTCATATCTTCCAGCTGAAAATTTTCTCTAAAAGCCCAATCCAATTTATCTAAAATTATCTGTGTAGGTTTTTTCCATTGCTATTGCTATGAAATTTTTCTCTGAAATCTGACTTTGTGAAGATTAGCATCTTACAGGCGTAATTTCTTTTTCCATATGAAGCTGTTGGGGTCTTTCTTTTTCCCAGAGAGAACTAGAAGACTGACTGACAACTCCATCCCAAGATACAGGCATAAACATGTGTGTTGGAGGTTTTGCAGGGTGGTCATACTTCTGGCAGTCTTCATCTTATAAAAGCAAAGGGTGATGGGGAGCTTTCCATCCTTGGGAAAGGGAAACAAGCCTGTAGTCCTGGGGCAAGGGTTTAGGGGAGGAAGCAAGTTTTGGGGGACTCAGCCTTCAAGCAGTGGTTTTGATATTGCAGTAAAAATGGCAAGTTATTTGAGCAACCGAGAGCACTAATGCTTGCTCAGGTGAATTTACTCTGCTAGAAATGCTCATGCTGGTGTGCCAGCAGCTACCCAGGCTCCCATCTCTGCTGGGAGAACTGTGGTGGCATTCCCACTCTAGTGCAGGTGACACTGGACCAGTGCACAACAGGTGTCTATTTGTTTATTTGTTAAATTCCCACCTAAAATCAAGGTGGGAAGTGTAGTCCTCCTCCTCTGCTGCTCCAGCATCTGTTTTATGCCCTGCTAGGTAGTACTACAGGAGCAAGGGAAAATGTGCTCTTCAAATGTGGAGATAGGGTATTGTTTTTCACTTATCCTGGCTTTATGTAGATGGTCTGGCACATTTATTTATTCATTTATTTGAGCAAATTAAAGCAAGCTAAGCGCATTTGACCTCAGATGGTCCTGGTTTAAGTTAATTTGAGAGACAAAGCTCATAAAGTTCCAGTAAAACACATCAACAACTTCCCAGCATAGGTTGAAATGTGATTGTTGAAACATAACCTCCAAAACCAGATACAGCACGGAGATTCAAAGTCACAATAATCTGAAAAATATAGGAGAGTATATTGATAGCCTTACTGAGAAGTGATATCTTTCACTCAGGCCTTTGTTACGCAGTCGATCGCTGTTTTACCCGCAAGAAGTGCATCTATCAGATTTTGTGCATTAACATTCCTTTTCTAATCTAGCTTGGACATTTTATTTTAAAGCCAATGATAACCTTGGGCCCCGGTCCAGCAAACACTTACGTGCTTGCGTATCTTTACTCACAAGAGTAATCTCACTGGAGTAAATGTTTGCAGGTTTGAGGCCTTGGCTATCTCAATCCATTATTTCTTTCCATTAAAAAGTAATCTGTGCGATTGAAATAAAACATACAATTCTTTACTCAGAAACCCACCCAAAGACAAAGTGTGTTTATTAGACTAAGGGTCTGCACATTGTCATCCTTGAATTGCACTTCAATTAAAAAAAAAAAAAAAGATAATTAACAAATGTAAAAGAAGACAGCTTCGTACACGCTGTATTTACAAGAGTTTAGTTTGGATCGTGGGCTGATGGATTTATGGCGAGGTCTGAGGAGGGAGATGGAATAGCTGCACTGCTCTGGAAAATCTAAAGCAGAGAGTTTTTAAAATGCAGTTTCTTTAACAAGGCATCATGCAAAGAGCACAGATTTCTTATTCTTGCTGAGGCCACGCAGCGATGCCCCCACCCAATGGGAGGGGAACCTGCCACGGGGGCTCCGGTGTGTCCAGTGTGTCCAGGCTGTGCAGTGTTGGGTTCACAGGCAAAACCCAAAGACTAACCGGGCTCTCGTCTGTCCCGCAGGTCACCGGCCTTTCCAGTGCAGATACTGCCCATACAGTGCCTCTCAGAAGGGAAACCTGAAGACCCACGTTCTCTGTGTCCATCGCATGCCTTTCGACAACAGCCAGTACCCCGACCGCAGGTTCAAGCGCTCCAGGGTTGACTCCGAAGCTTCTGGGAATTTGGAGGAACCCGCAGCTGTCAAGCCGGGGAGCTCGGCAGAGCCAGCAGAGGAGGGCAGCAAGGCCCAGGAGTGACGCTGCTCGGAGGGTCCCTCTCCGTCCTGCAGTAGCCTTTCACACCAGGTTTAGATTCGTGTTTGGGTGAGAGCTGGCTTAAAATACCTTCCAGGGAAGGCTTAAAATACCATCCAGGGAAGGGATGACAAGTTCCCAGAAGTGTACAGGATGCTGAAAACATTTAAGTGTGTGTATATGTACGTGTACACACGCACATATATATATATTTACAGACACACAGAGATTCAGTCGCACACACACTGAATATATATCTACATACACACACACACAGAGACACAAAATACACACATTCCATATGTGTGTGTGTGTGTAAATATATATATTACACACTCAAAATAAATTTTCCAGCCCTTGAAAATGGCTGCTAAACAGTTACCTGGCAACAAGTACTTCCAAACAACGTAGGTGGGATAATAAAGTGATTTGAAAATGTTGGGAGGTTGTTAGTTATTTAAAAAGCAGGGCAATATCAAACTTAAAAGTGATCTTCGTCCAAAAATAATGCTCTTAACAGAAAAATGATACCCTCTAAATGATTTAGTGTTGCCTTGAAGATTGAGGGGCTGTGTTTTCATTGTTGAAAACACCTTTATAATATGACACCAGCTGCTGTCATTTGCCTAGCATAGTAATGAGATGTCTTGGTAGACTGCCATGGTGCCAGTCTGACTGGAGCTGTCATTGCAGAGAAAATCAATTCAAGTGGTGTTGCAACTGCAGTGTAGGAGAAACCTTAGACGGCCCATAAGCTGGGGTCAGTACTGACCTATATTGAAAAGTATTGTGACATTACATTTCCTTTTTTTATTCTTTTTTTTTTTTAAATATACAGCCAAATGAATCAATGGTTAGGAAAAATAAATCTGTGGCCCGAAGTGTGACTGCAGATTTGAAATGTAATTCCATTTTTTGTAATCATTTTCAGTATTGAGGGAAATGCTTTTATTCTTTTTTTTTCTTGTTGATGAAGAAGTAAGTTGCTATAAAAGTAGAAATACAATGTATAGAAATATTGTTTAGTGAAACTAGTCAGCCTTATCTATAGAAGGTGCTGGTGAGAAACAGAATTTTATTACATAGGAGGTTGGTAATTTTTTTTCTTCTTCCATTCTTTGCTTTTCTTATTGGTTTTTCAAACTTCCTTTAATTTTTTTTTTTTTTTTTTTTTTTTTTTTTACACTTGAATGAAGGATTCCCTAGTCACGGTTAATTTTCATGTATTAGTTTTTATAAGTGTTACAGACATAGTGCAGAAGTTTCTTCTGGAGCAAGCCCTTATAAAGTAGCTTGACCTAAAATATGAATCCAAACTTTCTGCTCTTTGTCTCTAATGAAGAAAAGTGTTTTAGACTATATTTCTTTGATTTTGTAAAACAAATGTGTTCTATATTTTTGCAGATTTTAGCTTTTTTACTGATTGGATGCTCCAAATTTAGTAAGGTCTTTGCCACATAGGAAGCTTTTGAGAGACTATAACAAACCACATACTTAAAGAAAGTAAGAAAAATAACTAAAGGTTTATTCTGGAATTCTCTGAATGGCATAAAATTTTATCCTTCTAATGTACTTCCTTTGATAGAAGCAAAATTGGTGCTGTTTCTTGTGATGGTAGAGAAGTATTAACTTCTTCTAAAACAAAATCATCCAGACTTTAAAAAAAAAAAAAAAGAAAAAAGTTTAAAAAAAGTCAATATTTCTTTGCAGGCTGGGAGCACAGAGTAAAACCCCAGGGCCTTAAAACTTCAGCTCTGCCTAAAGCAGTTTACAAAAAATACTAAACTGCAATCAATGTAAATAAAATTCTTAGCGCTACCCTGAGACTGGAAAAAAAAAAATCTCAGGCTAATAAGGAATACGGTTTGCATATGCTGTCGGAAAGGATGTCATCCAACTGAAGTTTCAGTTTAAATGAGGTCACTGTGTAACTTGGACCCATCTGGCACAGAGCAAGCTGCTTTTCTTGTTTTTCTAGTATAGTTCTCACTGCCTTACTTAAATCGAGTTGATAAACTTAATGCAACTGTTTCTATGATCCTAGATAAAGGATTGAAATGTTATTGAACCTTTCTGACTGTAGTAAGCTTTAGGATTTTAACTGCACTACTGTGTTTGGTGACTGTGTCAGTCGCTTGCTTTGTGTGTTTGCGCCGCCTTCGGTATCTTAGCAAAAAAAACGAAAAAAAAAAACAAAAAAAGAGAGAAAAAAAAGCAAAACCACCCCCCACATTCCATTTCTTGCACTTTTTGAGCTCTTTCAGTATTCTTTTGTGTCTTCTGAGCATTTTCAGATACGACAGGCAATAATTCTGTTTGTGACACTGGAAACATCTCCCGCTCCTTGTGATGTGTGTGTTGATTCCATTTGGTCGGGTGCTACTGTCCCTATCCTCCCCTCTGACATAGCCCTTTTTTCCAGAACATTTGTAACTTGTAATACAAACAAGTGACAGCAGCAGTGATGCATTGTCAGTTTCTGAATATCATCATGCTTCTCATATCTAAACATGTCAAGTTTTTTCTCTGTAACTTCTGTAGTCTGTGATACTGGTCATAATACTGTCTACATTCCTACACAAAGAAAAATTTCTATCTTGGAGGAAATCTGAGATCAATAGAGTAGAGGATTTTGTTGCTATGCTTGTAACAATTAGAAAACTTTGTATTTAAAGTTTATTCTTGGTCATTATTTATTATTATAATACATCAGTTGACAGAACTTTATTCTGGTATAGAAGTATTAAAAGTTGTTTTTTCAGCAATGACTGTTTTCTTTCTGCTGTTAGAATAAAAATGTCTTTGAAGCAGTACAGTTTTATCCAGTGTTTTACGCAATAAAACCTCTACCTCTGAAAAAAAAAAGTTTTCCTACTTGCTTATGTTTATTAGGAACAGTTAAAACATTATTTTCTTCAGCTTTGTCAGAGTTAAAAAGAAAAAATATTAATGCCAGTAAATTCACAGTTGTTAGGCAGTTACTGGAGTGTATTATGCTGGGTGTGTGTGCTCAGTCCACTTATTAATCTGAACAAATCTATATACAGTATATACATATATATATTATATATATTGTGCTTAATTAAAAGACTGTGGAAATCTGTTTTAGCATGTAGTAATAATTGTTTTATATACTACTACTTATGTACTATAGAAAAAGTCTTGGGGTCTATCAAGCTTTGATTTGAAAGTGTTTGAAGTGTGTATCATACACTATGATGTATAAAGTCATGTTTTCACATTAAAAAAGATTGTTTGTATAGATCATATATTTGGCTTTAGAAAATTGTGAGGTTTATTGTTATGGTACATGTTAAGAGAGCTGCCCACACTTCAAAGAATGTGCAAGTGCTCCCATTCTCCTGGGTGGATCTTTCTTCTTCCCCTTTAAGGTTTTATCTGCACATTTGAAAGGAAATAAATTAAAGGATTTTTCACTTCTTAGAAAAGTAAGGATGATTAATATCAAAAAAAGATGCACCAAACCTGAGAAAGTACAGCAAGTATGGGGAGGAGAGAGGAAAATGGCCTTGCTCCAAAAAAAGCTGAGAAGGCAAACATGTTTAGAAAAGGGAAATTTTAACATTAAATGAAGCCAGTTGTACCCGCAATAATAAAGTCATATTTTAGCTTGAATTCTCCAGTAGAAAAAGGCACAAAAATTGTCAGAAGGGTTAAGATTTAAAGCGTATCATCAGAGAAATTCAGTTATTTGGTGACTGAAAGCTGCAGCGAGGAGTTGCTATCACCAGTGAACTGGTAGAGGGAGTGTGTGTGGCCATGGGAATCAGGGAGCTGGTGCTGAATTCCCTGGCGTCTGGGCAAATGCCACAGGTCTCTTCATCCACAGAGAATAAAATCTGCAGTGCATCAAAGTTTAACCAAAATCCAAGAAGTTAATGTTGCTTTTTGTTGTTGGTCTTTGGTGTTTGTTTTTGTGTGTGTGTGTGTGTGTGTGTGTGTGTGACACACCCTCTCTGGGGGGGGGAACCACCCTTCTAGGCACAAAATGGTAGCATGTAAGAACACGGCTGGAGGATGGATGATCTCCAGGCTCAGAGCTGAACTCTGCCTCACAGCAGGATCACTGTCCTTACAGGTAATCACTGTGCCCTGGATCCAGGGAAAAACAACCATCTGGGGAGATGGGGGGGGGGGGGGTGTCTCCCAAAGATTTTCTTTCCTGTCTTCTGGTTTCAATAGACAATAAATGAAAATGTGAAAACCTGATTAAGGAGCAACGTCTCAGTGCACCTCCATGGAAGTGCTGGCAAACACAGCCTCCTTTTATGGTCCTGAATTTGTGCTGGGAACTGTGCATTAAACAGTATATTTATGCCCTAGAAAAATGTGAAAATGACCACCAGGGGCCCTGTACCTCAAAGTGAGGTGTTGCATCACCTGCCAAGGCAGCTTGTGGGGAAGGAAGTCTGAAAGAGGAAGGTGGTTGTCTCACGGAATTCTGTGGAGGTTTTTGTTTCCTGCAGCTGATGGGCAGCCTTCCTCACACAGGTGCTGGGTGTCTTGACAAGAGTCTTCCTACCTAACATCACAAGGCTGCTCTCAGCTCTAAGATAATGTTTCTTGTTGAAACTTTTATAAGGACTATAAGCCCTCTGCCTATTGTAATTTGGGAATTGAATATTTCCCCCTATCTGTTTAACATCTGCATTGTAACAGTACATTATAAAACCCTCACCTTGTGTATTGTAAGCATGTTCCCAGTGAAATTATTAACTATTGTGGTTTTCATTTCTGGATATCGCTGCTTGGCATGATCCACCACAGTGGAAGTATGTTTCCGTTGGGAAGGCTGGGGAGAGGGAGGAGGGAGAGTGAAGCTGTGGTGTAATGTCATATTAAAAATGTCACCCAGATGAGTGTTACAGGGGCTGTGAGAAGTTCCACAGCTCCTCACCTGTTGGTGTTGTTCAGGGTATCATTTGGGGGCTTTTTGTTATGGTTTTGGGGTTTTTTTTAACCAAAGGTTCTCAGTGAAAGGGGAAATTGCAGGAAAAGAGGAAGAAGAAAATTTAAATGATCCCAGAGTGAACTGTTTTGCTGTTAATACAGAAATACAGAGCAAGACACATTTAATGGGCTCTATTTTTTATTATACTATGCTGAATAATTAAGTTTGAGGCTAAGTGTCACATAGATTTATCTTTTAATTAAAAAAGCATGGTTCACGCGTATTTGAGTGGTAGTCCAAATAAATGCAATATAGAAATTTATGTTTGTTTATCTAGGTGTTAATTACCTAGAGATTGTTCTGGATTACTTCTTTTTATAAAGTGTCATAGGCTCATGTCACAAGTAATAAAGCTTAACAGTGGAACCTTATCAATTTGCTAACTATAATGCTAGTGTGACCTGCAGGAAAGGGGGAAGAAAAAAAAAAAAACCAACTTTGGAAAATGTTCTCTGCGTGCACCACATTCAACACATAAAAACCACGCGGTGAACAAAGCAATCATTTTTAAAATGTTCTCATAAGTAAAAGTACAAATATATCTTCGGTGTTTTACAGCCTTTCATACATGTAATTATTTATATAACACACTGTTATTTATGCCTGTGTGCTACATGTTGTGCAAAGACAGACATGGTAAAGCCACAAAACATAGTTTACCTGGTGGGCAAGCTATTCATTTAAGGTACGAAGTAACACTTACGAAGACCGAACACCATATTTAAAGCGAGATGTAACAGATGTAATTTTCTTAATATTTTAAAGGTTTTACAGCGTTGCTAGCGACCAAGAGGACTGGAAAAGCAAACTGAAGGCTAAAGATAAAAGATCATGTGTTTCAGTGGTGCAAAGAGAGGGAAAAATTTTGTAAAGACATAAATTGTTCATCAAATTCTCCATCAGGTTTTTTTCTTTTTTTATGAACAGAATTTATGTTGCTGCTCCACCAAGCCAATGTGGAAGGATGCTGAGTGCAGGTGGAGAAGCCAAACTTCACACACACACAAGCTGAGGGGCTCTCCACTGCTCCTGTAAATCAAATGCCATCTACTCTATTACCCCAGGGGAGTATCTGCCCCCAGGATTTGAAAGACTAAGAAATAATTTTAATTTTTTTTTCTTATAGGTACAAACACCCCTCTCTTTGGGGTTTATTATTTATGCTTTTCCTAGAATATTGATGATTTAAAACCATGCCAGGTTTCTATGGCCCTGTGTTGTGCAACAGATATACCTGAAAATGTTAACTTACTGATATTGCAAAGAAATCCACGGAAAAACCATCCTCCCAGTCATTAATTCTTACTTGATATACAGATTCTCAAAATATGAAGAAGGCTGGAAACAAGGGTTTCTTGTACTTATTACACATCAATTATTTGTACAGATATAGATACGACAAGTTTTGTCTCATGTACAGACAGGAGTAGTAGTTAAGTTACATCTCAATAGATGAGGATGAAGGTAAATTTATCTTTAAAAAAAGGTGCTCACTGTGGGATTCTGTGTGAAAACTGAAATGTTTTAAAATTTAAAGGACTGAAATTGATACGTATGCTTATGTATATGTAATAACTATGTGTGCATATACAAAAACATATACACCTTTTGGTTTTTCTTTGCATAGGATTTAATCCCTCAGCTCCATACTTAGTGTCCTGATGGTTTTGATTTTCATCACCATAGAGAAGCCAGTAGTGGACATCCATAATTTCTGAACATCAAATGAGTTACTGAGGAGCCTAAATACGGACAAAGGGCCTGAAAATCTGAGCTATGGGACGTGATGAATCACTGTAGCTCCTGAAATTCCAGCGGTGTAAAGTTGAAATGATTTGCTGGTGAATTAGGACTATTACTAGTGAAGCCAGAGGTAAAATCCACCTTGTCTTTTAGAGAGAGGATTTGTGGAGAAAACATGTCCTTCATGTTTTGCTGAGATATTGCAACATAGAATATGTGATTTCTCCTTAGGTTGTACCACTGTCTTCCTTATTATTTTTGAGATTTTATTCTTGGGGAGGTTGTTTTCTCAATTGTTTTCTGTTTGAAAGAAGTTGATGCATGAATGAGTGAAACCCTTGGAGTAATAAAGAAAAATGGAGCTATTAATCCCAACAGAGAAAAATATCTCTTTTGTTAAAACTCTCTCCCAGAATATTTGTGACTGTGGTACATCTGTCTTCACTAGGGAATCACTGCTCCTGATTTGTGC